TAATGATTTATGTATTCCAATCATATCATGAGGTAGCTGGCGATTCCCAGCCCTATAATAACTACACAGCACCAACTCTCTGATATATGGAAATGTGTGCAGTGACTTGAATGTAGCGAACATTCCCAGTGTGGAAAGACTGAAGTGGAAGTGACATTAACACTGAGCTCCTTCCGTTACTCCATCTCTCTCTCTTTCCCTCTCCTCGGAGACCGAGCAGTGATGCAACCATGCTGATTACCACTTGCATCCGTTTGCCTTACCGGCTAGATATGTTAATCATCTGCTGGATAATTGTCTCTGTAGTGCCTTGATTAAGTTGAGTGACACGTCAAGGAAGTGTGCCTCAAAGCCATACTTCCCCCACCTGAGGAGCCTGTTATTATTTTGGAGTCACAGCCTAAAGTGTCCCCCCATGAAATGACTAATTATCCAACATTGGTTCCACAGGTCTCCTCTTTAAGAGAAAAGTGACTCCTTTGATAGTGATATGAATCTCGGCTCTGTAGAGGAACGACACATTCCCTTGGTGGAGAAAAGACCTCAGCAGCTCATCAAATACTCAACCTCCTCTTTTATTCCACTGATCTTACGTCCCGCATACAATGACAGACACCCGTGAAGTGATATAGCATACGTGCTTTCCGAACATCTTGCTCCGTTAATGTGATGTCTGACCAAAAGTGAGAATCATTTGTTGATTATTATCTGTCCCTAAAAAGCCAGACAGTTTTTCATAGTGCGGTGTCACACAGGGGTAAACCGAGGTTAGCTCAGCTTTCCTAATTGCTGCCATAACAGCGAAGCACGTTCAAGCCGTAATTAAAAGTGTGTGGTTTTTTAGCTGTGTTGTCTGCGTGTTTGAAGAGGCTGGGGTGGGTTTCTCTTCATCTTCCCTGGTGGCTCTCCACTTTAAAGCAGCCTGCGCGCCCTGCCTCTACTGTCAATCACAGTTTAAAGTTCATGAAATTTCTATGAGGATCGATCCAGGGAGGAGGAGGAGGTAGGAGTGTTTGGGGGTTGCAGGGGTTAGGGATGGGGGAGTCAGGCCGTAATGATTGATCAGAACTTGCACTTTGAATCTCAATTCTTGTTTTATTCCTTCTGAGTGGTGCGAAGAAGCACATTCCGATTTTTCAGTTAGTTGCGGAGCAAGGCGTTTCCATGTGCCGCGACCTTTTTGACGCGAGGGCAAAGAGGAGATGGATATGTTGAAATCGATGGCATGCAACAGGGGGTCTTCAGATGTTTGTTAACAAGCCAGAACGGCGACCTCGCAGCGACAGAGTAGAACAAGAAAACAAATCGCTTCCTCTCACGTCGCCCCATTGCGCATCTGTAAATGTCTTCCCCCTAAAGAGTAGCGGAGCAATCTAAGTGCGAGATACGCATCTGCAGGTGAAAGAGCGGCTCGGAGCCATTCTCTCCCATATCAATCATGTAGCACATGAAAATGAGAAATTGAGGCATGTTGCGTCGGAATCCGAACCCGCATCAAATTCCCCATTCCATCAATGTGCTTCCCATGGACAGAGCAGGGTTTGATCAAGTGTTTTAGATGGGCCGAAGGCTCCATCTGAAATCGTTCAGTCTGCGTTAGAGGGAGACCGCTGAAATAGCCTCTCTCTGAATGACGCAGACACGCAGTTGCGATTGTGGCCTAGGGGGGCATGACTACGCTTACGATCGCTGCATCACAGGGGCTAAGGCGGAGAGAACGGGAATGGATATGGCACCTAAAAAGCCCTGTGTTGTAAAGACAGACGCCATCAGGGAGAGGCGAAACATGATCAGCCGGGGGGGCGGTTGGAAAGTGGGAACAAGAGAATGTAAATAGAAAAACAGAGGAGGGTAAATAGATGTAAGCCCATTGGAGAGCATGGATGTAAACAAGCAGAGACTGAATGTATATACAGTTGGCAGGAGACAAGTTATTGGGGCTGGGCTGGGAAATTAGGCGCTGTGATAGGTTGTGGAGCAGGGTTGTGTGCCATTCAGAATAGTTTTTACAGTCCTGAATTGGAATTGAATTTGAACTCAGAATAGTCTTTAATTCCAATTACATTCCTGAATTTGAATTTAAATTGAGGTAGCATACAGGATACAGCATTGCAATTCGAATTTGATTGTAAGGCAATGAAATTAAATAAGGAAATTCAAAGAAAAAAAAGGAACATTTTAAGTATAAAAGCTAATCTTGAGACTAAATTTTAAATGTTGCTTGACAAAGAAGGATTTTAAAGTTTAGAAAGATGTTTAAAAAGCATTGAAGCTTTAAATATAATGGATGGATGGATGGAATGTACGAATGAACGAACAATGGATGAATATGACGGAACGATGGATGGATGATGGACTGAGAAGACATGTAGATATATAGAATGATGGATGGATGGAACAAACATAATAAATTACTATATTTATAATAAACTTAATGAATTTAACTGAATAAATTAACAATTGTGTACAAGGAATTACATGTGTTGAATTAATTTGAATTGCAGTTCCTTTTCTTGTCACTCCAATTCAAATCCCAAATCAACATTCATATGTGTTGTGTGTGGAGCCAATTATTCATTTACATTCTCTGCTTTTTCTTTCATTCTTGTTGTATATCTTTCCTCTCCTCTTTTATTTCCCTCCTTCTTTTATTAGTAAGCATTGCCCTCATTAGATCTGGCTATCATGAGTTGGTGTGTGTTGAGTGGTTTCCCAGTCAGCCCTATTTGACCTCTGACTTCTGCAGAGCGTGTAATAAGAACAGAGAGGTATGCTGGGATTGATTTTAGAGTTTCACGCACTACCTCTAATTTGCTAGATAGATAGCGCTCCGGCGAGCTCATATGTGAAGACAAACGCAGGTGTGCCGTGCAGGTTAACTGCATGTCAGAGGTCAGACGCTCAACGGTTTTGCTGATGTGCATCGATGATGATGGGGGACACGATTCAGACTCGACCCTGCAGTGCTGATGATCAAAAGCTTGACAGTAATAGATGTAGTTATGCAAGCAGATGAGGAAATGCTTTTTTGTGTCTCGTTTATGGCAGCTCATTGTGTTGTCCCATCCCGCTGGACATCTGAAAGAGGAAATCATATTAATCTTTCGCTGTTACCTCACACTCCATAGCAACCTTCTATTTAGCATCAGTAGATCTCAGTGGAGAGTGTGATAACCTTCAAACGAGAACGAGAGAGAGAGAAAAGAGATATGCAGCCCCACAGCGCCTGCAATAAGGAGATTATTAAATTAATAATAAATATACATCCCTCTATTCGTCTCCTCCAACACACACACACACACACACACACATACACTCGCCACCTCTTCAGCGAACTGCATTATCTTTCCCTTTTCGCAATCGCGCGTCAGGCACAGCAAAGACGCGTGGATGGCTGAGAGGAAGGGAGAAAAAAATCAATACAAATTACGATGGAGAAAGTGGCACTGATGGCTAGAATTGCAGCATATGTTTACACTAAATCAGGCAATCTATCTTCATATGGGCTGTGTAATGCAGGCGGGGTCAGGGTTCGGCCCGCACGCACACACTCTCCAATTACTCCCACTTCTCCACGGGAGGCAGCCGTATCGATTGGCTGAGAGGACAGAGGCCCTGCAGGCAGCCAATGGGGCGCTGGGGTCAAAGTTCAGGGGGATTTTAATAAGAGAAGTAATGGGCTTAATTTCTTGGGGGTGTGATAGAGAGACAAAGCCCTCCCTCTCATGTCCCCTGTCCGACGGTTCATTAAAGTGCAAGTTTTATGGGATTGCTTTGTGAAATTGCTCTTATGGATGTTCTTCTTCCGATGTTCCTGCATCTAGTTCATTTTCTCTCATCTCATTCTTTCTTTCTTCTATCCTCCCTCATCTTTTGTTCTTTCAAGATCTCTCCTTCTGTCTTACTCTCTTATTTCCTGACACCTTATATCCAGATGGTGGTGATTAGCGCACAGAAGACTGTCCAAAAACGACACAACAAAACAAAACAATGGCACGTAGATCGCTTACTGAGTCTAATCACACTGCCGTTTGATCAAACCGCAGTTCTCCTGACTTGGAGAAGGAACATGATCGTTTCCACTGTGCCTTTCTCAGAGACTGTTCCCTCACTTTCACAGGGGCATTGAGTCACAAAGACCCCCACACACCCCCTCCTCAGCAACCGCTGTCACTCAGCCAGCTCTTTTCTCCTCCTTGCCGTGAAACCGGCTCAAACTAATTTGATTTAGCAGCTTGCTGAGACCCATTCCCGAGGAAAGAAAACAAATATTGTTATAATGGTAATAACATCTATTTGCCGCGCACGACAAACGGCACCGGGCCCTTTGAAAAGAGGCCCCTGCTCCTGCGCAGCCACCTTATTCTTATTCATGAAAGCACCGCTTATGCATATTAGTGCAAACTAGGTATTCTACTCGCTAGCATTTGGACTGTCAATCATCCTTACGGAATACAAGAGGCACCAGTGACACAAGCGGACCGGGCAAGAAGGCTGACAAATTGTCCCCAAAGTCAAATTTGACAGCCTTTTATGATTAATGGGCTTGATTATGGAGAAATATCTCCCTAACTGCTTTCCGGGTGTTTCTTTCTGCCGTCGTATCGCGACAGAGATGGGAAAGAGGGGCTATGCGGAGGTGCTGTTTGCGGCGAGAGAATGAAATAAACGTGAGCTGGGTTGAGAGAGAAGAAAAGAATTGAATTAGGCAGGAAAGGTTAGAGTTTGGTGAATAAAGAAATGTAAAGAGGGACAGGAAGGCCATAGGGCTTCACTAAACACTTCATAAAACAAATTCACACAGGGGGAGGCCTGGATTGATGCCACAGGGACAAACGTAAAAACAAATATACAGGGAGAAACCTACACAGATACACGCTGATATTTAACCCCATGGCAGAGAACTCTGGGAAATGGACAAGATGACATAACAGCCTGTTTCTGAGAGAACTGCAGTCAATTAAATCAAATAAACATCTTATTTTCGGTTTCTCCCGCAGCTCTGAATGAACCCACCATAGACTACGGCTTCCAGAGGCTACAAAAGGTCATCCCTCGTCACCCTGGAGACCCGGAGAGGTTACCTAAGGTAAGTGTGGTCACCAGAAAATGCTTTCGCTGCTTTCAAAATCACCCATTTTGTTTTCCCTGGCCGTGCTTTGGATTTACACAGGCTCTCCTACATTTGAAAGAAACGCTTGACATAAATTTGAAAATGGGTGTAAAGCATTCGCTAGATGGGAGTTGAATATTTCAGCCTCAGATTTGGCATTGCATCTCCGTTCTTGCTGAAAAGGATGTGTGTTTTCTTATGTCTGTGAAGCAAACCTTGATTCTGAAAGCCTGAGGGTCTTCTGTTTGATAGCGTAGAAGAGCAGCTCGTACTGGCTTGTGAATGAAAAAGCAACTGTTTGTGTGATGCTGGCTTTGAGAGGGTGAGATGGAGGTTAGATCGGCACTGTTATGCACGCTGGTGGCACATTGCAGCTTTGGGGCAGCAACAAGCAACAAATCAAAGTATTCATATAAATACAAAACACGTGTGTGCAAAACTCAGTGTGCCGTCAGGTGCCCTGGGCAGTTTGCCGCCTGGTTAGTATGAAAAGATTATTTTCCCCTAAAAAGGCAGGAAGCTAAGTGAGAGAGATTCTTTTGGGCAAGGCACTGGTGTTGGAGGGGATCAGATCTGATGCGGACTGACACTTTAAAACAGCTGCCAAATTGAAACCATTTATCAAAATCTGACATCTGAGATCCAGTCACCAAAAAAGCAGTTTATTTGTAAATTGATACTAATAGTGAGCATACATTGTCTGGCCGCTTTGATGCTGCGATACGTGGCAAGGGGAGACCGCCAGCTATCACCTCTTATATACTTATACATTCAAGAGGAAAACTCAATAAGAATGTAGACAGATTTTTTTTTCACGCCATCTTTTTTCTGTTCCTGGTGCCTCGGTTTTTTGACACAATCCTATAAATAAATAACCAAGTAAATACATAAAGCAGAAAGTAGGTAAATAAATAACTAAGTGAATGAATAAGTAATTGAGCATGCAAAAAAGTAAATAAATAAATAAATAAAGTTTTGTAAATAACTATTCCAAGCTGTGCATGCACAACCTCATTTGTCCTTTTATCACTGTTATATCTTTGTGTATCAGATGTGTACATATGTAATATTAATGATATGTGCAAAATGTATTATGATACATACATATTATGATATTATGATACATACATATATATATATATACATACATATACACACACATATAGTTATTTTTGGATAACAGATGTGTTTGACTGTGTTTTAGCATATACTTGTCTCCTTCCAAATCCTTGATCAGATCCACAGTGTGTGTGCCAGTGATGGCCCCAGCATTTAGAAACCCAGCTGTGTTTGTCTGACGACCTTTGCTGGGGCCAGGCATGTATCAGGCTTATATATAATTTCATTTCCAGTCCTGGGTTTGGCCATGAGCACACACCTCTCTGTCCAGATAGATCAGGAATATGGATGTGATTCAGGAGGCTGCTCTGTCCCGCAGGCAGCTGTGTTTCTCGCTGGCATTCGGGACACACATTCACAGGCAGTCCCAGGTTACCATAAGGTTAACGACCTGTGAGATCCACTTTAACGGACACCTGGATTATGGCATGTCTTATAAACTCAGAA